CTATAGCAACAGTGTTGCTAGGACTTTAAAGTTTCCCTGCAATCAGTTGGAATTCACAAGTGAAAGACATTGTTTATCTCAGTGGTATTTTAAAGTGATCCTAGCTAGCATAAGGCAGGAATCCCATACTTTGGAAAGGAATTGATAGCCCCAATGAACTGCACTCTAGTTTATGATTAGTTCAGAGTATGTAATCTACAGAACCAGGGTGGTAATTTAGCAGCCTGTTTTTCCAGGTGTTTTGATTTCATAGTTCCTACCTAGTCAAAGATCATTTCCATCTGGCTCAAGGGTTCTCAAGGTTATCATACATTGATAATTTTAAAAGGAAAAGTATCATTTCATATTTCTGTCACAGAGCAGAAACTTGAGGACTCCAAAAATTATAATATTATTTTTGGTATACATATTATTGGTATTTATGTCTTTTCCAAAATGAAAATAGCTCTATTTTTCTAATTATAATAGTACTTCATACTTATCTAAAATGTAGGCAGTTTAGAAAGCACAAAACAAATAGTTAAAAATCTCCCAGAGTTAACTACTTTTAACATCTTGTTGCAAACATTATATATATCTATAGTTGCTAAATAAAGAGACATAAAACATATATGTGTTTCCTTGCCAGTGGCTTTTCTTAAAGGTAACTTTACATTATATTTTTAAACTGTTTTAAAACTGTCTTTATGTTTGGTCTATTGTGGTTTCAAACATTTTTTTTCCCCTCAAACATACACTCAAAACGTTGAAATGGTCAGGAGTTAGTCTTAAAGTCAAAAGCCTCTGTGTTTACTAAATATCTGCTTTGTCCTATTCCAAAAAGTATTTAAAATATTTAGTTTAAGGATTTCATAAGTCACCATCTTAGTGGAACTTAAAATCAGCATTTTTTTCTGGTTTTAGGCCCTAAACTTTTGAGTGAGGGAAAAAGGTTGTGCAACTGTTTCATTCCAATCTTGTATGTGGAATTTGATTCAATTTAAGGAATTAAAATAACTACATATTTTTAACAGGTTGAGCACTAGAGCCCAGAGAGTTGGCTTTAGGTTGGCTGAATATGGGTCTGCATCGGGCATGGACTATAAGTAGCATTCCCTGTCTGTTGCATGTTATTTTATGGAGACCCCAAAATGAAATGAAAAATAAAATGGAAATGAAAAATAAAACAGAAAATCTTTGAAGATTCCCTAGGATGGCTGGGCAATCAATAAAGATCAAGCAGCTCATAGTCTAAAAGATAAAAAAGCCAACATGTTTTGATAATTAAGTATGGACTAGGCACTGTTGTAAGAGTTTCACTATTAACTCACTCAAGCTTTATGATAACCGTATGAAGGTGCTATGACTTGTGATAACCCTAGGAGGATTCTATTATTATTCCCATTCTACAGGTTAGGACACTGAGGCAGAGTGAGGTTGAAAAACTCACCCAAGGTTGCGTGACTACCATGTCTATTAAGTCTCAGAGTAAAAATTCAAATGCGGATCTACCTACAGAGCCAGCTCTTAAAACCATTGTGCTTTGTTCTGAAGGATACTGGTTGGTTTGTTTAGGGTAAGCTTTTCTGTTGGATGTATTCATGGTCTATGATTTCATCCACAGCTTTGCTGGCCCAGAATCTTTTTTTTTTTTTGTCAGCGTATCTAGGGGTGTACTATCTTTCTCAAACTCCATCTTTTTCCAAGTTATTGTAAAGATAGTGAGAAAGTATATATAAAGCATTTAGTTCTGTATCAGTCATGTAGTGTTCTTAATATATAGGAGCCAACAGTCTCATCTATTGGATTTGGGAGACATTGTCTATATAGATGTGGATCATATAGCTTTTTATCTATTGTTTACAGAGCAGGTTTAAAGATATTGTTAGAAATAACCCTGGCACATAATAGTGGCTAACTTTGGGCAAATCCCTAACCTTTCGTAAGTCTTCATTTTCTCCTATCTGTGAGAAGATATAATAATACCTAATCTTCAAGGTTATGATTAAGAATGAGAATAGATTTAGCACCCTGAATAAATAGTATGACAATTTTTAAATAGTGTGATTAGGACATTTCAAAGGGTCTTGCTTTCCTGACCATATGTCCAAACTTAAAGAACATCTACCTTGCAACTCTCTATGCCCTGCCTACCGAATCTTCAATTGTTGAACTAAGTGTTATGACTTAATATGTTCATGAGGCCATTCAAAATATTAGTATTAGTTTTCCTTTTTGCTTACTGCCCTTAATTCAACTTAATGAATAATAAAAAATATATGGGTCATAGGATGACATTGAAGCATGTTCCATTTTCCATGCAAACTTCATGGTCTAATGATTATTGTTACATATGGTGCCATTTCTCAAGGTAATTTAAAAGTAGTATAAAAACCTTATAGGTTTTGAATTCTCAATTGTGGTATATTTTGTCTCATCATGTTTTCTACTTACATGAATTTTTGCTCATTTATTTCCTGAAGGGTTGAAAAAAATTCAGCATAAATTTAAGAGGCTTTGCTCAAGGTTTGATGAATAGTAAATAGCACATTTGGGGAGACCAGAAAATGATTAATGAAGGAGATAATGATGTGGTCATTAAAAGGCAATATTGGCAGAACATACACCAAGTTTTTCAGAAAGAAAGATGTAAGACCATTTGAGAGACTCATCAGAGAAAATTCTCATGTGGCTTTTTTTTTTTTTTTCAAAAAATTCTTTTTTTTCTTGAGATAAGTTCTCACTCTGTTGCTCAGGCTGGAGTGCAGTGGCTTGTTCATAGCTTACTGCAACATCAGATTCCTGGGTTCAAACCATGCTCCCAATTTGGCCTCCCAAACTGTTGGGATTACAAACATGAGCCACTGCACCTGACCTGTTTTTTTCAAATTTCCTAGTAGAGGGCAAGTTTCCTGTCATTGGGAGAAAGTAGGCAGAGACTGAAAAGGCCTTAGAAAAGTATACACTTCATCTAATATGTGGCCCGTAGAATCATTTATGGACACTTTCAGTACTCTGGAGGCACAAACTTTTATAGGTTCTTCACCCGCCAAGTTTCTGCTTGGCAGTTTGTGCATGTGTGCCAAATATTGATGCAAGACAGTTTTGCTATAATGCAAAATCATCATATATTTTTGGCAACTATCCTCTCCACTCTGAGCCCTCCTGCCATCTCTTCTCTGCTCCAGGGATGCTCTTCTCTAGGTCTCACATTCTTCACTGAACTGCAACCTTAGCCTTGCATAGGGCTAAAAAGCTGATGAAGGCATAAGTTGATTGTGTAATATCTCCCTTCACCTCTTGTGACAAGAATGTTAACCCATCTCCCCCAACATAAGTTTTGTCGTTTTTTAAAGAGCTACCTTCAAGACACAAAGGAATGAAAATAGACAATAGGGAAATGAATCCAAGGCAGGGGTGCAGAAAGGAAGCTTGATTCTGGTTTGTAGAGACACATTCTACTGGAAAGGCTGTAGAGAGCTACTGAGGACAAGAAGATGTGAAGAAGCCACTTTGCTGCTGCTGTTATCCCCTGCCCTCTGAGGCTGAGGCTGAGGACCATGGGTTATCCTTGACTGCCCTACCTCCCATCAGCTTGGAGTGCTTGAGGGGTCACTTCTCCATAGCCTGGCCTGAATCCCTTCTTCAGCAGGCGAAGGTGAATTACCACTATCATCTGCTATCCCCTTCACTTCATTTTTATGCGATATACACTTAGAAATGTGGTATACCCATGTAAAAATGTTATAAACACCTACAGTGAATAAACAGTTCTTAATTTAAAGTTATTTCAAGAAGCTTGGTAGCTAATCTTTGACCTCTTATGTATGTTGCTGTATTTTCTGTGCAAGAGTTTATCTTTGTGTTTTGTTGAGTTACATATGAAAATTATTTTATATCCCTTGAGTACATTATATAGCTTAATTTTCCCAAAAACATGTTTCACTTTCAAAAAATGTCGTGTGTGTGTAGAAACTCTGACTTGGCCACTTATCTATTTTGTGAACCTTGTGGTTGATGATATAAGCTCTACAGAATTTTTTTTAATTTAAAAAAAAAAAAAGATGAAGCCCAGAGTGCTCCATGCATGTCTTTGATATTTATTCTTTGAAGAAGAAGTTCTGCAAGACTGAAGCCTCTACTTTGGCCTGTCATAAACAGGAAAAGCTAAACCAACATTGCAGAAATGAGAACTATCATACATTTTCTGCAGACTCTATAATTTAGTCAACTGACTCTCCCTTTGTGAAGTATGCTGCAACTATAAATCTTTTGGAAACCCATATTATTTGGGTTCCATCCAAACCTTGGATTTGCATCTATCGTTCACACGCAGAATTTTGTATAGATTTTTAATGTGCCAATTGTTTTAAGTGCACTTGAAAATGGATTAGAAAAACTTGGCGAGTGAAGGTAGAACTTCAGCTGCAGCATGTAATTCTTATGGAGGTTTCTATTAAGTAGGCACTCTGAGCCCAATGGTATGTGATGCAATGGGATTCATACCAATTGCTCTGAAAAGCTTTTTCTCCTTACCTTTATTTTAGTGTCAAATAACCCATCATACTTGATCCTCTGATATTGAAAACATTCATTTTCTGAATAATTGGATGTGGTGGGTGTAAGAGCAAAAGACTGCTGAAGAACTCCTTTTGTGAACTTAATGAGATACAAAAAAGAAAGTTCAAAGTAACATGTGTGAAAGCAATGGGAATTCATCACAATTTTCGATTATATTTCCCTTGAAAAATAACAAGATGAAATGTTTAGTGCATTAGATTTTTAAAGAGCTTTAGTTGTCAGTCAGTCTTGATGTCTGTGTGTTTAAACTGACAAACCACTGTTCTGTAGCCTGAGGCAACTGGCTGAAATTAATGATATAAAACACAGGCAACTTGACAGGAAGTCATTTTACAAAGCTAGTGGTTGTGACTTGGAGAAAATTTGAAATTAAGTCTATCATGGAGTAAGGGCCATATTTTGAGAGATATTAGTCTTTGACCATCAATCAAAACACCAGCTTACAATTAAAATGAATGATTTTACTTTGGTAGCAAAATCTCAAAGGAACCATTGTGTAAAGAATCAATGTCATAGGAGTTGGTCATACTCTCTTAGGAGAAAAGCTATGTAAATGGAAGATAAATTAAATCTTCTTTACTATTTGACAGCTTGCTAGTTCAGAAATCTAGAGTTTAGACTGAAGGTTAGCATCTGTTTGCACTTTTGCCAAATACGGTATGTGACATGACTTTTCAGGGTATAGCCAGGATCAACCAAAAGCAAAACTCTAAAGAATATACCAATTCTAGCACCTGCATGGTTTCTCCTCCTGTCATCCTGCAGAGGCACAGAAACCTGAGCATGGGTGGTGTTTCTCTTGGTTGTTTTTGATCATGCTTCAGCCAAGGGATGTAACAACATCCTTCAGATCTTCTTGAAGGGTTGATTTGCAGGTGATGTCATTCTTTCACTTTTAATTCCTTGAGATATGAGTAAACAGACTTGACTTACTGCTTCTGAAAGGTTGCTGATTCTTGCAACAATATCAATTTCTTGTGTTAATTCTATAATCCTCTGTGATCATCCAATATACTTTTTATCTCATTTGACACCTAATTCTAAGGTAAAGCTGAATCTCCTCAAATATTGGATCCCTCCCCAAATTAACCATTTGAGGAGAACAACTATGCAACTTCCTTTTTTGAGCATTTATGATAAGAGTTTAATGCTTTTATTTAAGGTCACAATAAAAGGGGTATGTACATACTTACATGTAAAGATATAGGTATGTTCAGGTTATATGTATAAAAAGGCTAGTTAATAATCTGCCAGTGGTTTTTAACATTTTAAAATATCCCATTAACATTTTTATACTTCTCAATAATATTTAATTAAAAGTTCTTCCCAATTCTCTGTCACTACACATAGGATGAAATAGAAACACAGAGCGTGTTTTCTGACCACACTTGTAAATAGAATTGTGAGCATAACTTTTTTTGTATTTAAAGTTTGCCCTAGGCACATACAAGTCAATTCTTCTAAGCAAAATACTTTCAGTTAAATGTTGTTATTTGCTGTTGGATAGCCTTTGATCATATGGACAGAAATAAATCAGGTATAATAAAACACACACAAAATATTCCAGAAAAAATTGTATTTGTTTTTGACTAATAAGTAAATACAACTTTTTTTTTTGTTTTTTTGGTTTGTATTAGTTTATAGATATTTTTGAAAGAATGGATTCAATCCATTGAGGTAAATGGTTTATGAACACAGATTAACAATCACTTTGAGCAATTAAAAATACCATCTGTACATGAGAAAATTATAATGGTAATCAACAAAATTTCAGTACTTCCCAGAATCTGGTTTTGAAACTTCATTATGTTTTAGGGGAAAAGCTCTCATTTTTCTGTTTGCTTCATGAGTTAGATCACTCATTTAAAATCTGAAGTAGTCAAATTATTTTTTATAAAGATCCAGAAAAATAGTGTATGTATTTCTAAATAATCTGAATATGTTTACATTGGTTTTTTTTTTTTTTTTTAAACTTAAGCTAGGAAGGAATTACCTATTATCTAATAAATATAGTACAACTATATAGACAAGGGGCAAACATCAAAGATTAGATATTTTTTATTATGTGAAAGATACATAGGTCTTGTTATGATTTGGAAGTCCTGGGTAACTGGTTAGACTTTTCATGATTGACAGCAGCTGTGCAGAAATTTTGTTAAATGCTTATCGTTTTAAAAAGTTATATGCAAAATATTTCTAATTTTCACTATTTTTAAATGTGAATATTTTTGACAGTCAAAGAAGATTCTCTTCTTTTACTTATGAAGCAGTTTGTTTTTGTGTGTTCATTTTTTTTTTTTTTTTTTTTTTTTGGTATGGGGTCTGTCTCTGTTGCCCAAGGCTGGAATATATAGTGGTGCAGTCACAGCTCACTGCAGGCTTGAACTCCTGGTCTCAAACCATTTTTCCACCTCAGCCTTTCTAGTAGCTGGGACTACAGGCAAATGCTACTGCGCCCAGCTAATTTATTTTTTATTTTTATTTCTTGTAGAGACAGGGTCTCACTGTGTTGTGCAGGCTGATCTCTAACTCCTGTGCTCAAGCTATCTCCCCACTTTGCCTCCTCAGATGTTGGGTTTATAGGCGTGAACTATGGTGCCTAGCCTGAGGCAGTCTTAATGATAATTTTTTCCTGATTAAAATCTACCAAAACAAGAAAAGAGCTTAATGAATGTATTTGAAAAATAGAATAATGTCACAATCCATTTAGAGGATAAGAATATAAAATCAGGGTATCGCTTTGCATTCAGGAAACAGGGAAAATAAATGATTTTTCTTTCTTTTTAGAATTTTTCACAAATATTCATTTGTTATGAGGCAGGAGCTATAGCATTAATTAATAAATAATAACAGCATGGAGCATATTCTTTGGAATGCAGTTCATGGCTTCTTGCCTGGGACAGCAGAACAGCTGTTTCTGCTAAATTACTGGAATGTGAGAAGCAGTGATGTAAACCCTTCAAAAGCACAGAGAGGGAAGGGTTTTTTTTCTTTCTCTTGAATTCCAATGAAAAGAAGCTTTTATACACAGAGAATTCAGAGTGCCCTATACTCTTGGAGCATAACGTTTGTTCTCCCTTGCATACTCCCATTACTCAGCTAGGTCGTTAGTGTGAGTTGTTTTTAACAGCTTCATGGGTCTCTAAGGATCAAGCTGAGACCAAGTTTGCCAAAATGACTGACCACTTATTCCAGTGATGGATCTATTGTAGTTTCTCACTTTCCACTCTTGTTTCAAGACAATATGGCTTTAAGTAAGAATTTTCCACATATATATATATGTATGTATGAGTATATGTGTGTGCGTGTGTGTATATATATGCCAAAGAGCCTTATTTTGGGGTGTAGTGTTCTGAGCCCCGACACTGTCTTTATAAGGAGATAACCTTCTGAAATATATGCAAGTATTTATGATTCATTGAATGAGATACTTTATTGTGTATTTATGAAAACCTCTGTACTTCTCTATGTGTTTGTTAGTTAATTCATGTTACATATAAATATGCATTAAGTAATCTGAGGCACAGCTTTTGAGGAGCTTGGAATCTAAATGGAAAGAAGACAGAGATGAAATTGTTTTAAGAAATAACTATGTTTTAAAATATTAACAATAACAAAAGTAATGCTTAAACAGCATTACCTTGAGCTTCCCACTTTGAAGCTGGCAGTCCTAGGATGGCTTTCTTCATCATCCATTTCCCTCTTTTTTAAACCTTCAGAGGTTTAAATGTTTCCTCCATTTGGGTAATTTTATATTAATATGTAAACCTTGACATAAAAATGTGGGGATTCTTTGGTGATTAGGGGTCTAGCAAGTTTGCTTCTACACACACACACACACACACACACACACACACACAGAGAGAGAGAGAGAGAGAGAGACCCTACCTGTGAAGGAAAATTTGGGCAAATTATCAATTTGTCCAATGAGTATTGCTGGACATATGTATTTGATAATACAAATAAGTGTAGAGACTAGTATTTCTTAGCAAATTCAGCAACACAATTCCCATCTTTTATGAAATGCATCCTTTACCAGATTGCAAACTGTTTCTATTAAAATCAATTCTAGTTTCCCTTCCTGAAATTGGACATTACTTATCTATATCATATTTGGTACTCAATTCCAGGATAATCTCATTTTCCAACTGGACAGGGCTCTAGTTCAAACCCTTCACCCTTCACAGTGACTTAGAATAGTTTAGAGATTTATCCAATGCCTCATTCTTGGTAAGTCTAGCATCTTAGTCACATCCTGTAAGCACTTGATCATTGCCTGCCACTAGGCACTGAGTGTACATGGAATTTTATGGTATAGTTCATTCATTTAGAGCTTACCATAATAGGGAAATTTAGAAAGTAAAAATGTAATTGCTACCTATTCTATTAATCTTGCTGACATTCTAATTCACTTACCTTGAAAAATTTAAGCCAGCAGATTTGGAGTCATAAGAATCATGGACTATTTTTAGCAGAGACTTCATATCACTTTTCATTGACTGGGTGATGCGCTGATGAGACTTGAAAAATTAGCCAAATTCCCATCATTGTGTTTTATCATCCTGATGGGAGCAATGCTGTTGAATTTCAAGAGGTTAGCACAATCAATACAATGAAGTTACAGCAAAAGGGGAGATGTCTCTATTATTGAGGTTTTATCAAAGTATTAAATGTTTGGTTTGATTTTTTTTTTTTTAATTGCACATACATACCTCTGGAGTGTCTAATAGTCAAAAATAGGTTGAGTATGATGAGGATAAATAGCTAATACATGTGCGACCTAATACCTAGGTGATGGGTTGATAGGTGCAGCCAACTACCAGGGCACATGTTTATGTATGTACCAAATCTACATGTCCTGCACATGTATCCTGGAACTTAAAATGAAATAAAATATTTTAAAAATAGGTTGAGTATGAATGAGAGAGAAAAGAGAAGTGAGCCAGTTCATCATTATAGGCTAAAGATTATAGTGAAATCAGATCACATCTTACATTTCACATTATTTTTTCTGTACTTAGATATTAAGCCCTCATTTCATTTCACAAACTCCCCACCAATGATCTAACCCAGCCAGATTCTGTCCCTGCATGAGCAGCCCCAGCTACCTCAGCCCCATCTGTCTCCACCTCCCACCCTAGTCCATTCCCTTGGCCTCCTCCATCTTTCTCATGCCCATCATGCATGCTCTATCCTTAGGTCTTTGGTGCAGAGAGGTCTACTCTGCCTGAAATGCTCTATATAGATATGCTTGTGGCTGACTCTCTGATTCCTTTCAGGTCCCTGAACAAATACCATTTCTCAGAGGCATTGTGTCTGACCACGACATCTGAGATAGCACCACCTCTGCTATCACTATCTGCTTATCATATGTTGCCTGTATCTCCACCGGCAACATTTCATCTTCATTTATTTAATTGTTGTTTTCTGTCTTCATGTTAATGCACTACACCATATGCTCTATGACAGCGGGGTCTTTGTTTTGTTCATTGCAACATCAACAGCACCTAAATCAGTTCCTGACACTTAGTGGGTGCTTCATAAATAATTGAGAGATAATCAATGAATTTTCTTCACGAGAAGATAATTTCTTTTGATTTAATCATATCTATTTAAAACTCCTTCTGTAGAAGACATGCACAGATGGGGGGAACACATTGAAGAACACATTCTTATTGGGGACCCCTCTACACTACGAGAAGATAATTTTGAAAGGCAACAGTGAAATAGATAAAGTCCCTTTCTTCCTAGGGCTTACAAAATTTGTTTTGTGTGAAAGGTAGACTTCAATTTAAACTTTCCATTATGGTAATGTTACACATATTCTAGTTCATTAGTACAGCACATATGCTCATATTAGGCTTAAAGAGACCAAGAAAGAGAATAAAAAACAAAAAAGAATATATATATATATATATATATATATATAAATTCCTTAATTTGTTAACAGCATGAAATTATATATTTATCAAAAGAGTATGCTCCTCCATCACAGAGGCAGTGTTTAATAAGGAATAGAATATGTTAATATTTTGCTCCTAAAGATTACTAGTATACTAGTCACTCTCTCAGATAGACACAGGTAATAGCCTGTTACTGAACTTTAGGATATTAGATTTCTTTTTCCTCATTAAACTTTTTCTCTCTCTAGTTACTTAGTTTGTCAATTGGACTGAGAGAGACAAAAATTTTTAAAGGATACAAAAATTTTCCTTGATCTGATCTAGAACTAGAAATACCATTTGATCCAGCCATCCCATTACTGGGTATATGCCCAAAGGATTATAAGTCATGCTGCTATAAAGACACATGCACACGTACATTTATTGTGGCACTATTCACAATAGCAAAGACTTGGAACCAACCCAAATGTCCATCAATGATAGACTTGGTTGAGAAAATGTGGCACATATACACCATGGAATACTATGCAGCCATAAAAAAGAATGAGTTCATGTCCTTTGTAGGGATGTGGATGAAGCTGGAAACCATCATTCTGAGCAAACTATTGCAAGGACAAAAATCCAAATGCCACATGTTCTCACTCATAGGTGGGAACTGAACAATGACAGCAACTGGACACAGGAAGGGAAACATCACCCAGTGGGGCCTGTCATGGGGTGGGGATACGTGGTAGGGATAGCATTAGGAGCTATACCTACTGTAAATGACGAGTAATGGGGGCAGCACACCAACATGGCACATGTATACATATGTAACAAACCTGCACACTGTGCACACGTTCCCTAGAAGTTAAAGTATAATAACAATTAAAAAAAATTTTCCTTGATCTACAAAAATAAACACATGAAACACTATTTTTTTTTTAAATCCAAGACTCTCAAGGGAATACTCCTCATAACAAACTATACCTGCCAGAAGTTTTGTAACTAAGCAAGAGTCACATGGCCTGTGGCCAGCAGGATAATTGCAAAGTACTTAAGGACAAATCGTTCCCTTGTGTCTTTGTAAGGACTGTATAACTCGTTCCTTAAAGACTCCAAAGGCATTATGCAAATTTAAATACACTTCTACTTCCCACTTACAAAGAGCATACAAGGAATGCCATATATGAATTATTGTTTGAGGCTAGAAGATAGCACAATTTAGGTTATTGTTTCTACGCATTTGTTAGTCACAAAATTTCAGGCCCTGTGATAGTGGTGAAAAGTAGAAAAAATGTGTTATTTAAATATTTATCTTTTCCATCATATGTTTTCTTTTAGATAAATAAAAAGAGGTCTATCTTTACATATTGTAACTACCTATATGTGTGAATTTTTAAATATAATATTTCATGGTATTTTTGGTGCCTCTCTTTTTGTAGGATACCATTGATTCATTACTCTTAGAGTTCTCTTTTCTTTTTTTTTTTTTTGAGACGGAGTCTTGCCCTGTCACCCAGACTGGAGTGCAGTGGCCGGATCTCGGCTCACTGCAAGCTCCGCCTCCCGGGTTCCCGCCATTCTCCTGCCTCAGCCTCCCGAGTAGCTGGGACTACAGGCGCCCACCACCGCGCCCAGCTAGTTTTTTGTATTTTTTAGTAGAGACGGGGTTTCACCATGTTAGCCAGGATGGTCTTGATCTCCTGACCTCGTGATCCGCCCGTCTCGGCCTCCCAAAGTGCTGGGACTACAGGCTTGAGCCACCGCGCCCGGCCTAGAGTTTTCTTTTCTATTATAATTGTAAAAAAGCTAAAGTTCTGAACATGATCATCTTTTTTTCTAATTCTTACATCCATAATTCATATACAAAGTTCTCCTTAATAGTCTTCTAGTTGGTCATATTGATCTTTTTTGCCCCCTTGCCTGAATTTTCCTTAAACAGCAATGATCTATCTATAGACATCACTCTAAACATGTTGCTGCTCTTTTGTTTTTAACAAGGTAACATGTACAAGGTGGCTACCTTCACAAATGATGCCCCTTACCCCACACAATGCATACATTGTGATGTAAAAATTGTGACAGAGGAAGAAAGGTTGTATATGTGGATTTGGGGAATCTGCCTGAGTGTCCCCATATTCCATTTCTTTTCTGTTACTCCCTTTAATAAATACACACATTTATTTCCTGGTAGGCCCATCTCCACTAGTATTCTTTACTTTGTCCAAACAAATGTACATTTCTCTTTGTGCCTTATGGATAAACTCCAAATTCCTGGCACATAATGTTTCTTCTATTCAAAACCTTGCTAAAAATTAATCTCTGTGACACTTTCTAAGGCTTCTCTTCGATCATGCCTTCATTCCTTCAAAATGAATGCAACTCTCTCCATATGCAGTTGTAATTAGCTTTGTACATTATGTTTCTTGGCTTCTTGTGAATGGCTAATGAGTACCTCTCTCTTTTTCTCTGTGAAATTTATAAATTTAAATTGCTAAGGAGATCTGAGGGTGGAGGGGAAGGGGGTCTCACTCTGAGATCAGAAATTGTTTTGTGAAAAAGCAGCTCTTGAGAGATGTAGAGGTATGGGTAGTATAACTAAGGTAGAGGAATGGTTGGTATACCTGATAGCTATGTCACTTTAAGAAGTAGGCAATGATATAAAGGTGAACTTACATAGATTACTTCACTTTCATGGGCATTTTAATTTTCTAGTTTATAAAATGTAAAACAGAAACAGCAGGTTAAGTAAATAAATGAAACTGGGTGGGCCCAAGAATTGCTTGGTTTCTTGGTCATTTTGCACTTTGGCACTCGATAGACAAAGGGTATATGGTACATTTATTTTCCCTCTTTACTATAAGGAAACAACACAAGTGCCGTAATATGTGGCCACGGACACTTGGGACTCAATATGTGGAAAGCAAATGCGCTGTTTAAAGGAGACCACTGCAACTTATCTCTATCTGTTGTTGTCATGTCAGAATGGGAGCACAATACTGACAGATTTGAGTTTTCAGACGAAGTAAGAAGATTTCTGTATGAGATCTCCTGACTTCTAAATGTGAATTCTAGCAAAACCCAAACCCCAACCATGTGGACTGAACTAAACACAACGAAGCCATATCCGGCCCACAGATTGCTGTGATATATATCCTGAAGATCCTTTCTGTGCCAGAGAACTATGATTTTAAATTCCTTGATAACAGAAACTGTGTCTACTCTTTTCTCTTCAACTATATCAACAAAGCATTTTAACTGGAGATCAACAACTGATCATCAGAGATTTTTATCACATCAAAACTTTCATTGGATTGAAGTTTTGTAGGAAAATTTGACCTACAGAGGTATTTTCAGTGGACAGAGAGCATTGATAATTCTGAGGACAACTATTTGTAAGAAAAGGCTCAAATGCTGAACTGTGCAACATAGAAAAGATTTAATAGCATGCAAAGAGAATAGATTGAAGTAGCTGGAGAGAATGGGATCATGTCTGGGAGTACAGGACGATGAGTAATCAAGAAGGGAGTTATTCATAATAGTCAACTCTGCTGACTGGCCTTTTGAAGGAAAAAAATAAAAAAATGATTAGTATAGGGAAGAAGCAATTTGATTTGGCTGAGAGGAGGTTATTGGAAACCTTGGAAATGGTGGCTTTTTTCAGTAGTTGGGATGGAAGCCAGACTGGAGAAGGTTAAAGGGATGAGAGGTGAGAAACTGGGAGATCCAGAGTTATGCTGCTTTTCCAGGAGATTGGACACAAAGAAAGAAGGGCTGGGATGAGAGTGGAGGAATCCATCTGTTTTAGTGAAGATGGTGTGCTGGATATGGGGAACACCTATGCATGCTTGAAGCTGGATGGTGATACATCCTCTTCATTGTCCTTGGTATCTTGGAAAGTAAGTGATTATCTCCTTTTGACTTGGCCTATCTTGCATATGCAAATCCCTCTATGGTGTGTGAATAAACAAACAATTTTGATATTTTTTGGGTGGGATGATTAATAAAGTTATGACTCATTATTTGTGTATATTCAGAAGTTCAGTACCATCGCTAACTCACAAGTTACAGAATATACACTCTCTCTCCTGTGTTTGAAAATCACTCTAGTCTGTAAGTATCTCCAGATCCCTGGAATGAATCCGTAAAGGCAGGTTATGCTTCAATAAAGTTACTGTGGCGTCAGTCTGAGCCAAGAGTGTTCTGTGAGTATTTTTGCTGATTGTTCAGAACTGATCTCTGCCTGTTTACCTGCAACTCTTCTACTGAGCTCAGTGTCTATCTTCTTCCTGGGGCCACCATTACTGGAGTGGAACCATATGCTTCTGCCCTGGAGACTGCAGCATTATATTAGGTTGCCAAGAGCTAAGGAAGAGCTCATGTCTCCAGGTGTCTTACAGCCATTTCCTTTTATCCCTATTGAATGTTATGGCACACTTCCATGTTCACAAATTTAAATATTTAAATAAAATAACAATAGGCCCTGCTGGCCTATTGTTTGCAGAAAATTAAACATAACTCCTCATTGGGAGGTATATAAATAAATATAAATAAATAGAAAATAAATAGAAATCGATCTATTTGTTGAAATTTTCTCAAAAACAAAGGTCATATAGAGGAAGGAGACTAGTGGCTTTATTTAAAAATGGTGATTTTGGATGAAATGATTGATTTTTTTGTTTACAGTACACTATCAGGTTATGTAACATAGTGACATAATTTTGTTTACGTTAAAGATAGCAAAATAAGATGGTGTAAAATGTGGATCCCCTGACTTCACCATTTATTTATTTCAAATGTTCTTCTACTCTGGTAAAGCTATTAAAATAGGTGACTATGATAATCCATCAAACAAACATTTATTTAACACACACTGTGGATTTTGCCTTAGTGGCAAAGGTAAACAATTTGCACATTTACTTGTATCTAGTAGGGGATGTGAGCAATTAAGCAACTGTAATAGAGTGCAGCAAGTGCCATGATGGGGGAATATAAAATACTATGAAAGCACAGAGTAGGCAAGCACCTGACCCAGTGGGACAGAGGCTTCTCAGAGGTAATGACCTTTGGAATGAGACCTGGTGGAGGTGTAGAAGGTAGCTAAACAAATGTGGTTCTAAACAGAGGGGAAAACAGGTGAGACTGTGCAGAGGTCAGTCAGAACACAGCAAGTTAGAAAAATGCAGAGAACATTTGTTATCTCCCGTTCATGCAACATATTAAGCACCTATTTTGTGGCAGGCACTGTGCTAGGCACTGGAAATTATAAAACGCAAAGGTGACTGTTTCATGATGTTTACTATGTAGTCAGGAAGCTGACACACTAAATAATTGCAGGATGGTATATAAGCACTACAATAGAGACATGTTCTAAGGACACAGTGGAACAAAGGAGGAAAAGCCAATTATGTTTGGAGGTATGAAGGAAGGCTGGAGATTTATTTTGCAACAACTCAGGTAAAAGAGGTCCTTTATTTTGTTTAGGGGCTTAATTTATAAATTGACCTTGTCCTACCAAGCTAACATGTTTGCTTTGAAGCAGGTTTTGGGATAAGAAATCTAAAATAAATGAGAAGAATGATTTTATTTGAGACAATGAAAAATGTGTAGTTTCTACAATGAGGAAAAATGATTCACTAACTCCCAGGTTGCAGGAAAGATACCCCGAAGACCACCTACTTCCATTATATATTGCTGTATGTGAACCCAATATACACAGTCTCCTCAAGTAGGGGATTGAAGTACTCAGTCAACTCAATCATTGTATATTAATATAAGCTAATATCTTGGAATAACATGTTGCTACGTGTTCTGTTTGTGTAACTCAGCTTCTAAAGACCTGATCATATCTGGTGTCAATGCAATGGAGTGGATTTAGAAGATTAAAATAAAAAGCTGGATTTAGAGTAACTGAAAAAACTCCAGGCAGTTTAAACATATGACGTAAGTGTGGATTATATATGACTTGTTATTAATTCTTAGAAAAATAATATTTAAAAAAGCAAAATTATTCTAAAGGAAGGACTCATGATAGGAGAATTTTTTTTTTTTTTTTTAGAAACGGGGCATTCTGTCATCCAGGCTGGAGTCAGTGGCATGATTACAACTCACTACCTCCTCTAACTCCTGGGCTCCAGCAATTCTCCTGCCTCAGCCTCCTGAGTAGCTGGAACTATAGGCACACACCACTTCACCTAGCTAATTTTTATTTATTTATTAATTTTTTTGTAGAGATGGGGTCTTGCTGTGTTGCCCATGCTGGTCTAAAGCAATCCTCCCACCTCATCCTCCCAAAGTGCTGGGATTACAGGCATGAGCCACTGCCTAGCCAGATTTGGGTATTTTTAAAAGATAGCTATAAATGAATGTGGCAGGAGTTCTTTAAAATAATGAACCTTGAGGGCTTAAGAAACGACAGTAATTAGTGGGTATGAGGCCCACCAAGGTCCAATGAGTTGAAGTGAACTGCTCAGAGTTTATACCCACAGAGAGAGCCCGACCTGTTCACCTGTTCTTGTTCTTGCCAGTGCTTGCTCTCTGTCCATCCATGCCTCAGAATGACTGACTTATCTTGACGGCCAAAAACACCACTCTCAAAATGCCCTGGCAGATTAAAGAGGTACAGTTATGGGGATGTCTGTTGACCTTTTCTTAAATTCTGTGAGAGAAACAATAAAACATCAATACCTGGTCATTTGATTAACATCCATGCAATTTTACGTGGTTCTTGTTGTTCTATTTGACATTGAAATGTATCATCTGCTTTACTTTTTAATTTACTTGCTAATAAGATACAGTTTTCCACATGAAAAGTTAATAATTATATTTATTATCTAAAACAAAAATGTAAATTAAAAATCTTGTGTACTATGTGAATTATAAATACCATGAAAGGGCAATAAAATAATAGTGTATAGAAAGGTAATATTGAAAATGAAGCATGTGTTTCATCTGTAGAACTAACACAAAATCAGAAAAGAGTCAATTGTTTATATAACAGTAAAAAAAATCAACTAATATATTAGGGAAGGCTCAACCATTTAGAGAATGAAACATCTTATGTGTGACTCACTTGATATCTTCTTAAACAAGGTGATCATCTCTAACCTGGATGAACTGTTTAACAAGGAGAATGTTTGACACAAGAACCTACCTAATTTTCCGCAGCTCAATTCCATACTGATGAGATTTCAAACAACAGGACTGGTTTGGGACTACATGATTGATTAGGAGTCTAGAATATGTCTGTCAGATTTGTCCTTGATGCTCAAATTAGGCAAGATATCAAAAGATAGAAATAAAAGTAAAGTAGTTTTAAACGCAGAGAATAAAAATCCCATACAGAAAAGTACGATGCCTTTTGTAATGTAAATAAGGGATTGGACTCAGTGCGAGAAATGGAGGAAAAGAGCAGGAAAAGTCTGTTACAAGCTGAATATGGGTCAGTAATTCACTGCCATTGTTTAAAAAAAAATCTGCATCATGATGAGTGTGGCTTATATTATTTCTATGTTGGGAATGGCCAAGGTACTTTAAGAACTAAAAGGTAAAACTAAAGAATGTTAAAAAATAATACAAATAATAGGAAAGAAAGGAAAAGGAAGCCATAGATGAGTACAGGTTTAAAACATTTCAAAAGATGAGCTGAAAACTGACTTGTATAGACACTTTTAAGAATGGGAAAAGATTTTTAAGTGAGGGGGATGTTGATCATTTCCGCTTTATATTGAGATGGAAGAAAAATGGGCTTGGTGAAAGCAAAAAGACTTTTTGGTGGACCATCAGTGTGATAGACATTATGAGAGACAAAGAGAATAGTAAAATTACCATCCTGGAAAGCTTCACTAAGATAATGAATGGTCATTTTTCTTTAAGATTTAAGATATTTGCTTGCTTGAAAAATACTTAACAGCTGACTGGAATTGTCTGCCAGCTTTGTGACTCTAATTTGAAGTTTGCCAAAAACTCTTTAAAATATATTACAAATTTTAATTTAAAACAAACAGAGGGAAGAGCTATACAACATTAGTATCTGTGAGACTCCTATTAAGATGCATTAGAAAAAAATTACTTTTATAATAATTTATTAATTGGCTCAAAATTTCTCTTTATTGCATTTTTCTGGAGATATTTATCTTTCCCTGAACCATTCATTCATCTTGCCTTAGATCTATTTATTTAAGGACAGAGAGGATGCCTTGGGGACTGTTGCAGGATAATGGGCAGATGGGCTGACTTCTTGCTTATTAGTAAGCTGAGATGATTTGACTCTAAACTTCTTCCTAAGGGATAGAGGCACTTAAAATGAGGTTTACTCAATCATGGAAGTATAATTGAAGTAAAGATATTATTTCATCTCCCTCCCTCCCACCCCATTTCTATTTTTTTTGGTATTCTTGTTTGACTTGATGACTTAGTGTTATCACTGATGAAACCTTAAGTAGACCAGTGGTTTGTTCTTTTGTTCTTTTGTTATCAGGATGGGACAGATGTAACTGCAGGGTTCAGCAGGAGGTAGCTAGGAGAAGCTTCTCATTAAACAAGAATTGAGAAATCCCATCTGAACACCCCTTCTCCTATTATTTAGTAAATGGAGAACACACGATGAATAAAACAGAGAAATTCTTAATATCAAATGCAAGGGTATGCAAAACCTGCAGGAAACTCTATGTGTGCTTTTCTTCTTTCTTTCCGTCTTTTTCCTTTCTAAAACAAGACATTTGTATTCACTCAAGTTAATCATAGTGTGTTTTGAGGTAATCATAATTAGATGTAATTACTGTGCGGTCAAGTTATACCTTAATCGATGAGCCCAATTGAGTACTTTAGACATAAAGAACTTCTCAAACCCAAACATCCCCAAAATGCTTGACAGGAATGCTAATGCTAGCACAAATGAACCAAAGCATTATTTTGACTCTAATGAACAGTTCTATTTACTGTACCACTCTAAGGCTGTACACACTGTTTGAAAAATATATGCAACTTAAATCATAAGCCTGTTTGTTTTTTGAGGAAGAAAGAGATATAGAATGTTTTGGATTCATGTCTTCTTTTGTTGATCTAATTTTTGAATTGGTTTCTAATATAGAAAAGCTGTTGTTAGATGGCCTTGTCCCAGACCTGGGGCACGAACTGTGTAGAGAGTCAAGGAAGGGCATGGGTTAAAAATACAGAATGTGAGGCAGTGGATACTGTCTTGCCTCTGAGTCCTTTTCCAGTGCCCGGTGTTCTTCATTCCCACCTTCACCCTTTTAACTGTTATTACAGGGGGATTCCATGCTGAGAGTGTAAACCCTTAAACTTCTGAGTCTGATACTGTTGGTGTAGGGACTCTGGAAACAGAGTCTCAGGAATGATTATATGGTCCTCAAATCTTTCACTTAGCAATGAGTAAGGCTGTAACATGACTTTGAGGTATTGCCCAAAAGCAGCTACTTCTGTTATTCAAAGTCAGTGATACCAGTGAAAGATTTAAAAATCAGTTTAGGGAGGCTGGGCGCGGTGGCTCAAGCCTGTAATCCCAGCACTTCGGGAGGCAGAGACAGGCGGATCACAAGGTCAGCAGATCGAGACCATCCTGGCTAACACAGTGAAACCCCATCTCTACTAAAAAAAAAAATACAAAAAACTAGCCGGGCAAGGTGGCGGGCCCTGTAGTCCCAGCTACTCGGGAGGCTAAGGCAGGAGAATGGCGTGAACCCGGGAGGCGGAGCTTGCAGTGAGCCAAGATCTGGCCACTGCACTCCAGCCTGGGCAACAGAGCGAGACTCCGTCTCAAAAAAAAAAAAAAAAAAAAAAAAAAAATCACTTTAGAGAGAAGGAAAGTACTCTTTTACAATTAAATGACTTGTATTTTTAAAATTTATTATTCAAAGAGACAGTCACCCTGTAGTGTTTTCCCCCGATAGGATAGGGCTCCTAGGCTGAGTTAGAATACTCACTCAAGTGCTTGTAGATAAATCTTTTCTGAAAATATCTGCTATCAAGCTTTTAGATGAAACATTCTTCTACCCAGGAAAACAGAGTTTTTCTAGAGAAATCCAATTTTAGAGTGAGCTTTAGAAGCTCCAGCTGACATTCGCTATATCATAAAATAGCTTCCAGTATCAGGAAAAGCATGTGCGTCCATGTGGAATCACAAGCACTACACCATTTGTCCACATTCGGCCGTTTAAGTTGGATTACACTTGAGAAAAATTAAATGGTCTCTCTCCTGTATTTGCAAAACTACATATTATTTGGCCTTAGGAACTTGATAAATAGGGATCCAAGGAATACCATGTTGCCACCAGTGTAGCATAGGATAGCATCTCTATTTCATATTACATGAGGACAGAATGGCTGAGTGTGTACCAGGACAACAACCTCAGAAGTTTTAACTGTAGGGTAACCTTCTTATTTTAGAAATTAAGACACTGAAATGCAGGAAAATGGTTATAATCCAATTAGTGGTTGATCCAGGAATGGGATTCTCATGTTCTATTTCTCCAATAAAGCAGAGAAAAAAGCTGGAAGTCTGTAATGGCATGATAGGGGAAAAGCGCTCTCTAGGGAATTTAATCTAGGAAACCCAGAAATACTCAAAACCAAACCAAACTCCTCACACATCAAATGCTAAGTTCGTGTTATTATCACATGCCTAGTTATAGTTTTGGAGAAAAGAGATTTATTTCTCTTATAATAGTTACAATTTGAGAAAGAAGTGTGTGTGTGTGTGTGTGTGTGTGTGTGTATAAAGTATCTAAACTGCAAGTTGCTCAGATGGAATTTGTCACTTTTATTACTGCCCTTATCCAATATTATAAAGAATCCCATCCATGTATGTGACTCTTTATGATAAATAACAAATGGATAGTTTCTATTTAAGTGATCTAACTGCCCCTTTGTTACTAGCAGTTGACCCCCATATTGACAACCTCCAGCAATCACCTGCCTTGCTTCTCTCCTTCTACATTGTCTCACTCCTACACAGATGCCTGGCTCTCTGAATTATAGGTAGAGCTGTCTTAACTATCTTGAACAATGTGTCTTGGCTTGCTGGCTGAGCCTCCACTGCCAGCCAGGTTTCCAGACCCAGTGTGTAGATCTGCTCTTTTCCTGCTTGCTTCATTTTTCTGTATGTTGCCATGCCCAGTTAGCTAATGGAATAGAATGAGTAATTTGCTGGGAATTACCTAAAAAGTTCAAGAGGAAGAAGCTTTGACTCCCAGGAAGACCTGGGTTAAATATTGGAAAAGGAATACCTTGAAGATAGTTTGAGATAGGAACCTTGATAGGAGCACCTTAAGGATGGTAATTATGTCAAGAGGGGAAATCAAGATAACTTTTTACTGGGTCATGAGTGTTCCTTAGATTGTCAAAAAAGAGAAATCTGCTGTTTGTTTGTATTTTTATTTAGCTTATAACCTGATGTAGTTTTTCAATTAAACTAATAATCTAGTAATCTTGATTTATCTGCAATCTATTCAATTGATCAAGAAATACACACTGTCTGCTTTGTGACTAGCATTACTGGAAAGAAAATATTCATGAGAAAAGACTGCAGCCAATATAAAGAAACCTCCTGGGGGTGGTTTTAACTGTCCTAGGTTTAAGTGAAAGTGGGAACACATTTTCCAGTGAGAAGAGAGTACCTTTTTATGCATATCCTTGAGGGCAAGAATCATGTCTAAATTATGTTTTTATCTGTAGAAAGGAGAAGAGAAGCTGGCGCTTAGCAGGTGCATAATAATGTTTGCTGAAGAAATATTGACAATCTTTCTGGGAAAATGTAGAGAATGAGTAAATTACCTGATTCTTTTCCACTTAATGACATCCTTCTCTTTTCTCCACTTCCTGGCTTAGGCTACCATGATGGGGAAATGCAGTTTGGTAATGCTACTGGAGTATGAAATTCATTTTCCTATGGAAGAAATGTTTAAAACAACAGTTTAGACATTATTAAATAGATATAATAATTATTATTCATTAAGTGTAGTTAATAATGATTAGATATAATTGAAAACTGTTTTACAGAGAACAAATGTTTTTGTTGGCTATCTAGGAACTCAAGCCATATATAATAAAATTTCTAGGAACAAACTTTGTGTTCAAACCTTGAGAACCTCATCGTTTTTCTAAGTTGGGTTGACATCTACCTTCCTTTTTTTAACTTTTTTTCTTAAAAATAGGCTTTTCTACTATTCTAGATGTTATGAGTCTGTGGAAGAAATAACAGATACCAAGCGTGGCTTTCACTCAGAATAAAATGATCTGTATCAAAAGGTACTTTTTTTTTTTTTTTTGGTGTGTGCTGCAGGTGGGTTGGGAAGGGAGTGTTCTGGATTTATCCAGTTGGAAAGAAAATACAGATGCATATTAAGCAGTTAGTGAGAACTAGCTTGTGTGATTAATATAGACAGGAAGTGGCATAGTGATCAAAAGAGAAGGAAAGTTTTATGTAGTTTGTCATTTTTAGAAAAAGCTTCATGGTCAGTTTGGGATTTGAGGTGGGTAGGTTTTAGGGAGATGAAAGAAAATAAAATAGGTAATTTTTTTTGTTTTGTTTTTTTTGAGATGGAATCTTGCTGTGTCTCCCAGGCTGGAGTGCAGTGGCATGATCTCAGCCTCCCGGGTTCCCGCCATTCTTCTGCCTCAGCCTCCCGAGTAGCTGGGACTACAGGCGCCCGCCACCACGCCCAGCTAATTTTTTGTATTTTAAGTAGAGACAGGGTTTCACCATGTTAGCCAGGATGGTCTTGATCTCCTGACCTCGTGATCCACCTGCCTCGGCCTCCCAAAGTTCTGGGATTACAGGCATGAACCACCATGCCCGGCCAAAATAGGTATTTTTTAATCTGGAAATTTTTCACCAGCCCAGGAAAATAGGATTTGATGCTCCTCTTAGAAGTTCTCGTAACTCATCCTTAATAAAAATTTGATCATATTGTATTTTGATTTATCCATCTCCTTTTATAGATAATTGAGTAAAATGCTTGAAGGCAGGAATGTGTAGATGCATTTGGGCAATAGTTGGAAATGTTTCACCTTTATTCTGAAGATACTGAAGACTAAAAACTTTTTTTATGAAGAATAAAAATACAACTGTCTGGAAATAAGATTGGAGGAGAAAACATGAAGACAGGGAGATAGTAAATCCTGTTGATTAAAATAATTCAGATAGAAGATAAAAAGGGATGGAGCAATAGAGAATGGAAGGAATACCTAAGATGTATTTCCAAAGAAAAAACAAAATGTTTTATTTACTGGATGTAAGAAATTGAAAAGAGGAAAGGGAAAAGTTACTAGAGGTTCAAACATAGATTTTTAAAATTTCTGTCCAAATTAATGGGTAAAATACCATAGCATTTGTACAACTGCCAAAACTGTTTTGCAGGTCTAAATAATTTGCATAATTACTGTCAGTATTTCTTTGTTCCTTCATTATTTTTCAACTCTATTTGTTGACCTTGAGAAAATTAGGTACCGTAGTCTCATATGTCTTCCAATGTCTGTGTTTTCTAGTGGAAAAAGAAAAGGGAATTGAAAACAAAGACAGCTACATTACATTTTGCCTGATATTGAATCACTGGCCATTTAATCTGCTCCTTAAAACTCTCTTTGAGTCATTTTTTCCACTTTGAAATGTAGCTTCATACATTCAAGGACTTTTAGTAGTAAAAAAAAAATGTAGAAAATTATCTGAGAGTTTGGATGCCACATCCAGGACTTGAAACAAACAAAAAAGAAAATTATCTAGGAAAAAAATTAGAGAGTAATCACACATTTGAAGAGATACAGAAACTGAGGACCAAGTAAGTTATATGATTTGTTGTGAGTCCTGTTGTCAGTTAAGGACAGCATGGGGCTTAAAATCTGTGTGTGTTGACCTTCAGCCATTGCTTCTGATTGTATACCATAGTGATTTGGGTAAGACTACAGATAATCTTCCAAATGTTTATAATTAAGCTAACTTACATCTTACTACACAGATATGTATGCCTGCAGGAAATTCGAGGGAAAATTCATCTAGTTTTCACTTAAATTTAGACTGTGACAAAGGACAAATTCACACTTTGTGCCTCAACTGCAAAATAACCTGTATTTTTTGAAACTTTCTGTTGAGATAATGTTCTGTAGATTTCTTGCATTTCTGTACATCTTGTAAGCAGAGGCACTGACTGTCTTTGTTCTAGATTATTTTTTTCAAAGATGTTGGTATAGCAAGCAGCACAGAGAAGCAAAAGGCTGGCATGCTTACTAGCCAGTATAATAAAGATAAAGGTTCCCTCTGGAGCAAAGTACATACATACTTATTGCCCATGATAAAAGATTCAGGCTTCCTAAACTCAGGGTTTCTCTCTGGTACACAGCCTGCTGAGTGTACTGGCATCTATCTAGCCTGTACACATTACTTTAATTGGGAGAAGGGAAACTGACACAAATATGCTGATGCTAATGTTGCTTGCAGTGGTATATAATAATAACAGCTCTTTGTTTCTGACCTGGGAGTCTCATATCTTCTACCACAATCTATGAGATTGTAGCAAACTAACTTGTTAGCTTGCAAATAGGATAAGATCTCAGTTCCTTCACAGTTCAACACTTTCTAGGCTGACAGATTTATGGGCCCAGGAAATACTCTTATACTTGGTTAGGCATAAGTAAAATTGAAAATGTTGTAAATCAATGGACTTAACTAAATTTTTACTTAGATTTCTACAGTTTTAATTAGAACAGCTTAAGGTCTAAGTGTGGCATTAATATTCTGGGTCTCAACTGATTAGATTTGTGAAATACTAATATACTTAGTTGCTTTCATCAATTTCAATCTGTATAGCATTAAATGTATTATTATTGTTGTACTCTAAACGTTTTTGCAAATTAACAGGCTTGCAAAAGTTATTTTTTGACACTTATGCAAGATAAACTGGCAAGCAGATACTATGTAGTAATTTGTATAGTCAATGTGACCAAAATAGAAGGATTGACCATACTTTGGTTCCTAAGTTTTTTTGTGTAGGACTTGATGAAATTTCTTGAGGAGGATTGTTTTTCCTACTTGAATTTGGATACTCTCCAGGTCTGATTATCACCACATTATCAAGGCCCAAGTCACAATTTGTTCTTGGTAGTTAAGCAGATTAAATAATTAAAGTAGATATTTTCTATTCTGGTGTTACTGTAAGCCAGAAACATGAATAAGGCCTAAATAGAAAAGAACAAGGGAATTTATCAGATATGTAGGTTTTGTTAAGGCCCAGCCCAAAAAATATCCAATATTTATGTAAATCAGAAATAAAGACTAAATTCTAGACTGCAGTAGCAGGTTGTTAACAAGTTAATAAACTTTCTTCCAACTCTATTATGTGTTTAATCATTTTCCTAGTATAGAGTTTGAAGCTAACAAAGAATAAATATGCTTGCACTACATGTGTCCCTTTATAGACATTAGTTCAAATCAGTTCTAAGTTATGATATATTTTTGTTTCATTTTTAAGCTTGTTTTTTAATTATCTTTTTTTGTATAGAATTTAAGGCTGTTAGGAGGTCATATAGATGTTATGTAGAAGAGGAGGGGCCAAGGAGAGTGCAAAGAGAGAGGCTAAAGAGAGAAAGTTCAAAAAAAGCTGCACTGTAGTTTAATATGAAAGAATTCCGGTGAAATGATTAGACAGTGGCTCACATTCAGAAAGCAGGATACATGAAACTCATCTTCGAAGATCAACAAAGACTTTTCTTTGAGAGGAAATAATAGAGTTTGACCCAGTAATATGTAATCATTTCAGAAATTCATTGATAATTTTTTTTTTTTTAAATGAATAAAGGGAATGCAGAACACTGCAGTTCTGGCTAGCAGAGTCTGTTCCTTTGGGAAAAGACCCCCTAGTATAGTATGCAAAGTCAGCCTGTCTGCTTTCTCTCTCTCTGGCCTACTTTACTTACTGGCCATCTGTGGCCTAGTACATTTTCCAAGATGGCTCCCCTTCCATATGCTCTACAGCAGTGTGACCTTTCCACCTACCTCTCAACAAGAGGCGGAGTCGATTTCTTCACCCCTTAAACCCGGAAGGGCCCTGTGACTGCTTTGACCAATAAAATATGGCAGAGCCCTTAATTGGATAGGCACTTGCCATTTCCTGGCCTCTAGGAAGCCAACTGTAATAAAAGAATACAACTACATTCAAATCACCATACAGTGAAAACCCAAGCCATGGGGAGAGGCCTTGAAGAATGAAGTGCCACATGGAAAGAGAGAGAGCACCAAGCACCAAGAAATCAAGTATGTGAGTAAGGATGCCATGGTAGGAGTAGATCCTCCAGCCTGAGCTGCCCCAGCTGACACTGCATGTAACAGAATGAATCAGCCAGGTGAGCCCTTCCTTAATCCCCGACTCACAAATTTGTGAGAAAAATAATATTAGTTTAAGACAGTAAGTTTGTGAGGTATTTTGTGAGGTAATAGGTAATTAGAATGCCACCATTCCTGACTGGATGGTAGGTAGAAGTTGGAGATTAGAAGTTAGAGAACACTAATAGGTAATACACTCTTTCTGTTATTTTTTTTTTCCTAAATGGAAGGAATTGTAGTGGTCAGTCATTAATAATTAATTCACAAGAGTGATAAAGATAGCAAACTGACTTCCTTTGCCATCTATTTTTTTTTTTTTTACTATAGCTATTTATTTAAAGGCTCCTTGAAGCTTTAATGTTCATATTATCATTGGTTTCCACCATTCTTGAGTTTCTCTGGCAAAGGGTAATGTGAAAAACAGGCTCATCTCCAAGTTAATCCTCTTTTGCCTTCTTCTACTTAGATTTTATTATACAAACCCTTGATCTTAACTTGTGGTATTTTGCAGCATTTTGCAAAACCACAATAACAACAAAAAATCGTTTTCTCTTATTCAGCTTTCTACTTGT